AAGCTGTCAGAAGTTCGATATTGCTTTGTCATGTCAACATTGAGCAGAAGTCTACGCTCGTGGTTTTGAATTTGACCTAATGGGCCCATACGGTTACTGAATGTCTACGTGCAGTGTAGACGGCTGAGGCGAATGCTGTAGGTGCATGCCGGGTCTCCAGGTACTGCTCCATCGGCCTTATGACAATGATTGATAAGACCGGTGCGCGATATGAGGGTGCGATCGTAGTAAGGAGAGGTTGTGGACGAGTCCGCGCGGATGCTGGTGGGTGGAGCTGCTGACTGGGCATCAGAAATGTGTACTTTGCTGCTGGTGAATCGTAGAGGGTTAGTGTACGAGTGAGGATTGACCTGTTTGCGAGTCGGCAAGTGGAGGTATCGTGGTCTTGGCGCATGGGATCCGAAGATATCCACCGAAACAGATCCGTGCGTGGAATGTCCGTCGACAACGGGGCCACCCTTTCGGTTTTTGGTTATGACGATCTAGTTGGTTTTTAATATTACTACCGCAGTCTTCACTGCCGTTCTTCAGGTTTGTCGATCCCCGCAAGGTCCTCCCAGGTCACTGGACTGATTTGTATTGAATTAATTCAACAGGGTGTCCTTATGTCGTCGCTTTTGTCTTTCTGATTTTGGAGCATTAATAGCATTTGGGTAAGCACTTATCGTCCATTCTTACCAGGTGGCCGTTCCAATGCAACAGCAGCTGGCTCACCATGACGTGGGTGTTGAGAATTCGAGTCTTTTTTATGACTTCCGCATCGGGCATCGTATACCATCATTCTAGTTTTGGTATTCACTGGAGACAGATAAAATGAAAATGGTGGAGTTTCCTGGTTTTATTGGTGCGGATGGTCTTTGCTTCTGTCCTGAAAAGTAACGTCATCAGGACTACCGCTCGGTATATTTTGAAGTCCGAGACAGATCCAAATAGAAATCTGCAGCTGGTTGAAGCCCTGACTGACTTTGGAGAGTGAAGTAGCCATTTAATCTCCGACCTTGGTGCTGTATGCAATGGTGGTGCACTGATGGACTAACCAATGCGTATCGATTTTTATTCGCGTTGAGATTGGACGTAGCTTGTTCCTTGCCAGGTGCTGGTTTGTTTACGATCCCCACTTTATATCTGTTTATGCCCAGCCTGCTGTTTGAGCAGCTAGAGACGAAGGGGTCCATGCGTTGAGGGCACATCATACTGCTAGGAAGAGGTTACGAACAGCAGTTGTGTATGTTTCCATAATTGTCTG